CCACCGAATGGCACATTTAAATCGCTGCAAATGTAAAAATACCACTTTGTACTGCTGCTGTTAATAATATAAACATTAAAAAGGAATTAAACACTCAGCTGCCTTGTGGGGTCCAACTGCCCGATGGTTCTCCGTTCAACCCGCCCTGCTGGAGGAGCGGAGTGGCCCCAAGCCGCAGATCCTCAGGAAGTGGGGCTGGATTTGTAAGTCGTTAGCTGCTGAACGCCCCTGGAAAGGTAGCTCAGGGGGCTGTGCTGGTTGGTGATTGCTGCCTGATTCTGGAAGACAGCGTCTCCCCTCCCTCCACTTTTCTTCAAGACGGGCTGGTGTTTGAGGTGTGCTGAAGATGGTGGGTGGGTGGGGGGGCGTCTAGAAGGGTGGCCTAATGCATTCAAAGCCCCTCAGCGCTGCTGATCAGGGAGGCCTTCCCTGCACCTGCCCCTCCCCTCATATCACATCACCCCTTTTGCCCCGGAGCACAGATAGCTCTTTGAAGCACAGATAGCTCTTTGACAAGCGGGGCTGGGGTACAGCCATCTCCCAGCATAGACACGGATATTCAAAACGTTTGGGGAGCGGGCAGAGAGGAATGAAAGGCAGTGGTGTTTTTCCATGAGCTTTTTAAAGCCTCTTCCTGTTTGTTGAGGACATGAATCGGAAGTGTCTTTGACCTCCTGTGACACGCTCCCCCCCCCCAACCCTTTAAGGAGGTCTGAAGGAGAAAGGCTCAGGCGGGAGGTTTTCAGATTCCCCTGTGGGACCAGCCCCCCAACTTTCTGCAGCCTGAGAGCTAGGTAACAAAAGGCCCCAGTTGCACATCGGCCTGCTTGGTTCCTGCAAGGAGAGAGAGAGAGAGACAGAGAGAGGAGGTGTGTCTCAGGGCGCCTGCTCCGCCCTCTCCCCACCTCTCTGGTCCTTGGCACCCACGCTGTCATTTCAGTTCTTTCCCCCACCCCCGCTTTATGTTTTTGGCCCCCGAAGATGCAGATTTAAAATCTAAAGTCTGAGGTCTACATGGCCGTGAAGAGCTGCTGATGAGCAGGCTTGCCTCCCCATCTGTTTTCGGAGACGGCGTCCTGCCCTTTCCAGCGTGGTCGGAGAGGCTCCGTGCAGCTGGGAAGAGTGATGGGGCTGCCCAGAGGCCCAGGGCTTCCTGATGACATTGCATTATGGAAAAGCTGTAACAACACTCCGCACTTTCGCCGCCTCTTAAATCACACAGGGGACACCAGAGGGACCGGGTGGGGGTGGATGACTGTCTCCCAGGTGCCCTTGCTCCTGACAGGGACGGCACAGGCAGGTCGCTCTAGTGACGCCGTGTTGAGCCACATCTGCTCCTCCATGCCACCTTTCTCGGGGACCAAGTCCCAGTTCCTAGGAGGGACCTGGAGGGGGAAATGGAACAAGGGCAATGCTAAGCCAGTCTCCCAAGCACACAAGTGGTATGTGAGGACACAGTGGGGGAGGGATCTGGATCAGAAACCACAGTCCTGGCACTGCCAGGCCGAGCCCCCGTCCCCTGATCCACCTGCTCCGTGTGTCTCTCTTTCTCCCTCAAGTTAGCGCTGCTCTTGCCTTAAGGATTATGGGTGAGGGGAGCTGGCAGAGATTGGCCGACTTCTCATCAAGTCTGGCTCCTACAAATACTTCTCCGGCCCCAGGCATCTGGGTAGGACCACATGACTAATTCTAGTTCATGGAATGTAGTACCACTTCCCCACGCTGTCTTGACTCTTGGCATCAACAGAGCCTTAGTGTCTGTTGAAGAGGGCAGTGCCAGAGGGGGCACCAGGTAGCCTCAGCTTCACAGTGCCTACTCTCTGTTGAGAGTCTAAGATAGGCGTCCTCAAACTACGGCCCTACGGGCCACATGCGGCCGCCGAGGACATTTATCTGGCCCGCTGGGTGTTTTTGCCCCATTTGTTTTTTTACTTCAAAATAAGATATGTGCAGTGAGCATAGGAATTTGTTCATGGTTTTTTTTAAAACTATAGTCTGGCCCTCCAACGGGTCTGAGGGACAGTGAACTGGCCCCCCGTTTAAAAAGGTTGAGGGCCCCTGGTAAGAGTTGGGCATGGTTAGAGCAGGTAGCTCCCCCTCATACGTGTGCGCTTGTTAACTTGGCAAACCCAAAAGAGAGCTGCCCACTCAGAGGAAGGACGGCCACCTCAGTGGTCTTGGCAAGAAGCAGCAGCGGCAGAGAGGGAAAGTCAGAAGTTCTTTTCTGGTTTTTAGGCCCTGGCGTTTCACCATTCTATTCTCTCTCTCTCTCCGTCTTCCCTCTGTGTGTGAGTCCCGCCATCTCTCCTCCCCTCCCACCCCCCCGTGCATACATCAACCCTCTGCAGCCAACACAGACCACTTGCTGGTTTCAGAAAAGAAAGCTTGGTTCCACATTTCCATGCTTGTCGGTCCTTTCCTGGAACCTCCTTCGTGATCACCTGTCCGGGTTGACTCACTGTCAAGGCATGGCTCAGACACTTCCTCTGTTCTCCCCGCATGTGATGGTGGACCTCACTGCTGCTGCCCACCCTGGGTAGCACTGTACAGGTGGGCAGATGGCCCTCAGGACTGGGGATGCACCCATTATCTTTTCCTACTAGTCTTAACTCTGTTGTTCTTACAGGATTCTTAAGGATAGCACCGCTGTCGTGACACGTCTCGTGCGTTTTGTTCATACAGGCCCGAGCCCTGTGTTGCGTGGTCCAGGGACTGGGTCAATATTTGTTGGGCGGATGGGTGGATGGAAGGAAAGGAAAAAGGAAGAGAGGAGAGGCACATCACTGAAATCACAGACAAATGAATGAGCTACTTGGCCAGAGTTTCAAGCGTCTCCACCATCTGGCCTCACTCCACCTCTGCTTTTCATTGCCACGCCTTCCTCTCACAAACCCCTCTTCTGCATGGGTGGGTCTGTTCACAGACCCATGAGCGTGCTGGACTTCCCCTTTCCCCTTCCCTCCCGCCCCAGCCAGCCCCCCAGCACCACCCCACTCCCGTCTTGATCCTTCGGGACTCAGATGAGGTCTCACCTCCTCCTGCAGTTTCTGCGATGTCTCAGTTCTTAGCCAACCTCTTCCGCGTTAAATTACAGGCCTGACCATCCGCACTGCGGTGTCATCCTTTGTATCCTTGGGTGCTGTCTTGTGTAGCTCGTTGTCAGTGCCCATGTGTTACTCTTGCCTCCTCGGCTATAGCTCTCACCTCCTGGAGAGCTGAATCTTCCACCGCATTTAGCACAGACCCAGCTGGGATGGTGCTCAGCACACAGTTGCTGATTGCTGGGTTATCTAGAGAGCACTCACTCCCGCCATTTCCTAGCAGAGATTGAAGACTTTCAGACCCTCGTGTCTTCTGTGCTTTCCATACTTTATTTCGTCTTCCTTCCTCTTCCCAGGTTCTGGTCCGTCGGGTGGACTTGCCCTGCCGAGTTCCTCCACTGGCAAGACGACTGAGTCCAGCTGCCCTGTAGGAATGGCCTCACCCCGTGACTCAGCTTTGTCTCTTTCTTCGCAACCCCCCGTGGTTTGGCAGGGACCCCTGGCAGGAAGCGGTGGCTCCGGGCTGCCAGGCCTCACGTGATTTGGGGAGGAAGGGTCCTCCGGCAGAGGGCACCATGAGTGTTGGAATAGTGGAGAGACAGAGGGAGGTGGGCAGGTAGAGGGATGAAGACATGGCCTGCCCTGGCCACCGAGTGCTGTTATCAGGGAAAGACCCAGTGGGTGGCTTTAACGAGCAGGACCATGTTTTCTCACCGTTTAGAAGGGTAGACATCCGAATCCAGGGGACCAGCCCCGGGGGAAGGCTTTCTCTGTCTGCCTGGAGGGAGGGTCTTGTCTCTTCTGAGCGTCTGCTCCTGGGCCCTCTTCACGTGGCGGGGCGCCTTTCTTCCTCTGCCCCCATCTGCTTGTTTCATGCCCTTTGTACACACTCAGGACACAAGTGACACTCATCCTGCTCGTTGACTTAATGGAGCCCCCCGTGCCCACGAGATTATAACCAGGGGCATGTCGGTTAGGGCTTCAGCACGGTGTTTCCAGAATACAGCCCATGGGGAGCGGGGGTGGCAGATTAGGTTCCAGCGGATCATCCTCCTGACCTGCCACTTTCGCAGTGTCCCGGGCGGAGAAAGGGTGGAGGAATCAGAAGCCGGAGGAGGAGGCTTCTGCACACTTGGCTGTGAGGTAGGTGCCCGCTTCCCTCAGAAGGAAGGCGCCCAAGGCAAGCAGTATGTGGGGCTCCTTCTTGTCATTAGCAAATAGTTAGTCTCCAGCTAACGCCCTCTGCCGCCCACCACGCTTGGACCCACCTCCCCACCGCGAGCACAGCACATGCAAATTAATTGCATCATTACCCAGGCCAAACATAATTAGGCAAGTTAACCTGCTCTCAAGGCCATATAATGTATGCCAAAATTAATCAAAAGTTGTTTTCGTTATGATTATCCAGGTCACTCTTGGCTTAAAGTAATGTGGATTTTGGAAAGTGCCTGGTAATTACCCCTGAGCATCCAAGAACTGCTGATTCACCTTGCACTTTATCAGGCTCACACGAAAGGACCCTTCCTTTGCAAGTCTGGTGCAGGCCTGCTTTGCGGCTGCCTGCAGATATTGTCTGAGCCACCCTCCCCCACCTGCCCGGCCCCCAAAGGGCTGCAGGCACCAGCAAGCCGCTCTTGCTGCATGCTCCAGGTCGCCGGTAAATCTGAACCCCCAAACGATGGGGTGACCCGAATAAGCAAACAGAAAGGGCCATAGGGTGCACCAAATAATCACTGGTGACTGCAGCAATTTGATCAAGACATTTATTTCCTTAATTGGGGAACGTATTTCAGCGCTTGACTCCAGGGCCTTGCAGTAGGTTTCCACGCTGCAGAAGAAGGAATTAACTAGGACTGGACTTACACTTGTCCACCAGTCTTGTAAACATTGCCCCTAGATGCCTTGGCCCTCTCGGCCTCCACTCTCTAACACCCTGCCCCCCCACCCCGCCAGCCCACCCCCACAATAAATAAGTAGGAAGCAAAGAATGTAGTTGAAGTCCGGGGGCCCCTCTGCATGCCCAGCGCACCCCCACTGGAAGCCGCATCCTCAGCAGGGGGATCTCTCCATGGTCAGAATCCGACAGGCCTATCCTCTGGGAGAGCATTGGAAAGCTTGGGGTGCTGGTCCCCCAGGCTCCAGTCTGAGGCCATCCTTGCCTCTTCAGAACCTGGGTACAAAGCAAGGTGAGGCAGGCAGATCTGTCCACTCGTCTTCCCTGCCCCAGATCCCTCCCGGGAAGGTAAGGAGCCGTCATTAGCGCTGCCTGCCCTCTAAGCGGGCAGCCTGTGGGAGCGGAAAGCCCGGAGCATCCGGCTTCTTCAAGGATGGTGGTTTTCTTTGGTTTTTTCTCGCAGCTTGCGCGCACTGCAGCAGCACCAGGAGACCGTGTGTTTAGATGTAGCTTGTCCCAACCCTCAGGGTGATACTGGCCTCGAGCCCTCCAGAAGCGCTTCGGGACGGCTCGGCCAGCGGCCAGCGCTGCTTTCTGTAGCTGTCGACAGAGCCTGCCTGCCCAGAGATGCCTTTTGAAGGTAGACGGGATGACTCCCAAGCTGAGGGGTGTCCAGACCACCCTAGCTACCCATCGCGGTCCCTTCGGGGTCTGTACCCTAGGAAATGGATCCGCACGGTGGCTGCAACAATGGGCTGCAGCCTAAGAACACGCGTGACCGGGCGGTGCTTCCTTGTGTGGCGCACGGGGTCCTTGTGAGTCCAGACCCAGTCCACAGCTCCTCGCAGCAGCACCACCACCGCCCCCCGGGGAAAGTCTATTCTCCATCCTGGATGTCCTGCAGGATCTGGAGGAGGTTTTCCAGGCCGAAGATATAGCCAGGGTCTGGTCCATCGTAGATGGCACCCTCCCTCCAGGAGCCCTTGTACGTCGTGTGAGCGAAGTCGATCATGCGGATGTCCACTTTGGCCAGGGCCGCCTGGGAAGGCTCTGGGGGAGCTGGGCCCCCTGGCGTGCGCTCCGCGGGCTCCGCGGGCTCCTGCCCGTCGTAGATGAGGAGGAGGGAGCTGGAGTAGAACCGGTAGGAGCTCTGGCTCCGGATGACCAGGAGGAGGGCCCGGAGCTGGCGCAGGATGGGTTCCAGGAGCTCTGTGCGGAGGCGTGCCCCGTCGTGCAGGAACTGCCGCAGGGCCTGGTGGAAGCCGGCCACCGTGAGCTTCCTCCCGTAGTACTTGTCCTTGCAGAGGAAGTGCTTCTTAGCCGCCTGGTAGACCTGACGTTCAAAAGAAGGAATATGAACGGAGGCAAAGGGCAAGGGACGTGCACGGCGCTCTGGCCGCAGCAGCGCAGGCGGACATGCTACCTGAACGACCCCGGGAGCCATGGGGCGAGAGGGGCTGCCGCGGTGGACCGCCTTGCTGACCTGCCAGCAGGCACCAGCGTGGCCTCTCCGTGTGAAGATGGCCGTCTGGGCACGCCTCTACTAGTAAGCCACCCCAGAGGTGACCCCTCCTCTCACGAGGAGAAGGCTCCATCCTCCTCTTGCGCATTTCCAGCGCCAACCTCCAAATCATGATTAAGCCCTGGCATCTGGCCCTGTCCACTCAAACCTTAGCAAACCCGAGCGAGGACGGTTTAGTCGGGTTCTGAAATCACGGCCGATGGCCTTGGAAAGCCAACTGGATTACATTTTCCCCAACCGAGTTTACTGTCAGGACCTTTCTCTGCAGATTCAAAGGCGACCGTAATGGCCCTCAGTGGGGTGAATTGTGTGGGATACAAAGTCAGGTGGGGGGGGGTGTAGCTGAGGGGTCCAGGGGGGAGCGGGAGGCTCATGACACTGCCCTTTCCCCCTCCCCTGCCATGTCTTGGCCACCAGAAGGAAATGCATGGAAGAAGGATTCTGTTGGGGGGACAATGGCAGCCACCCCCATTTCATTCCAGTGGCACAGACAGGAGATCCTGAACCCAGGCCAGTGGCTGGCATGGCCAGAGAGTGACTTGGCACACCTCCACCTGGCCCACCTGTCGAGGGCTGCCCCCTACCTGGTTGGTAAAACCTCTCCTAGCTCCAGATTAGGTGCTAGGTTTAGGGAAAGCCAGCGTTGAAGAAAAGCAGCAAGCCATGATAGACCCGGCGTTATCTTTAGAAGGCTGGAGATCAGCTGCTAAATTAACTGTCATAAATACACGACAGACCGCGTTTTCTAGATAAATCAGATCAATTTCAGGAGGTTGAAATCCAGAGAGAGGTTCCATTTACCCCACAAATCATCCCCCTGCGTTCTCCTGAGGACTGCATTCCAAGCCTTGCAAGAGACTACTCCACTTGCAGCTTCAAGGGGTGGCAGTTTCAATCAAGGAAAGCTGTAACCTTTACCATCAGATCGGTGTCTGGTGTCGCTTTGAGAAGACAGCCCCGCAGAGTGAGCGAGTGGGGGAAGCTTATTTCCGCCTGCTCACCTGCAGCCCCTGCTATACCCACATCAGAGCAGCCGAAAGGGAGCCTGGCGTATGGGCCGTCCAAGTTAACCACCCCTCTGCCTGGGTCCAGCCCCCGACAACCTTCCCACGCTGCTCTCCAGAACGGGTAGCAAAAAGCCTCCGGCAAGGGTTCTGAGACGGGGCGGGTAGCTAGTAGGAATTCAGACAGCAGGCAGCCTCACAGCCTCTGAGGAGGAGAGGTCCCAGTGTGGGAGGCTGAGGAAGCGTGGCATACGTGCGCAGAGATGCGGCTGCTCTTAGGTTGCTCTCACTCAGCCTGGGCCGGACCCACATGGCCACCGCTGAAGGTTTCAGCTGCCAAACCCTGAGACTGGGCTTGAAAAAAAAAGTGGATTTCTACAACACCGCGTGGCTGCCAACTGAGAGACTGGTGGCCAAGCTACCTAGTAGGAGTGCCATGGGGGAAAGGCCTGGCATCTTGCTGCCATGAAAGCTCACAGCCTAGAAACCCCCTACAGGGCTGCGTGGTTCCCTAGGACTGAGAGTTGACTCAGTGGCAGTGGGTTTGATTGTGTGTGTGTGTGTGTGTGTGTGTGTGTGTGTGTGTCCCGAGGGCACAGTCCTTAGGTAGTATGAACGGTGACCATGCCAGGTTAGCAGTATGAACCCACCCAGAGGTATGTCGGAAGAAAGTCCTGGAGATACTTCCAGACACAAAAAAACAGCCGCTAGTTACCCTATGGGACCCAGTCCTATACTCTTGACACATCTGGGGCACCATGCATCAGAATCGACTGGATAGTGCCCAGCAGTGGCTCAACCTGCTTCTTAAACCCCCCCAGTGCATCAGATTCCAGAATAGGCATTTTCTCGTTGACCGAGCACGCCAGGCCCCCTCCTCTGTTGCCCCCTCCAAGCAGCAGTATCTGGGTGGGGCGCCCCCCGCCACCGGCGGTCATGCCAGGTTGTGACCCCTGCAGCAGGCCCAGCGCCACCGACCTGCATGCCACAGATGCGCACGCCCAGGCAGGCCGAGGTGCTCTGCGCGCACTTCCTCATGTGGCGCGCCTTCTTCTCCTCAGATGCGTCGTCCCCGTGCTGCCGGGTCCCCATCTTCAGGTCCAGGATGCAGGGGTGCTTGTACTGTGACACCACATTTTCTAGCAACAAGAACCCTGCCACACCCAGTCAAGGAAGGTTCGGGGGACATAGCGGACACTGCCCTCAGGAGGCGGCCAGCCCACCTCGGAAGATGCCTGGTGCCCCCCTGTCCTTCTGTTATGGACAAGCCCTTTGCTTAAGGTGACCAGACGTCCCACTTTTGACGGGACAGTCCTAATTTTTGGCATTTTAAAAAGTCCCGATTTTTTGAAAGAATGCACAAGCTAGGGAATGGTCTATTTCGTCCATATAGACCGAATTTTTAATCAAGAACCCCACCCCCACCCCCAATGGTGTCCTGCTTTAAATCTGGTCACCTTACCTTTGCTGCTGTTAAGAATTCAGTGCATTCACTGAGGGCTGCCTCCATAAGCCCATTTATTTACAGGGAGTTAATGAGGACTGCAGCTTCTTTCCCTTTTTGCTCTGAGGGTGGACTTTAAACGCAGGTGTGACACTCCTGGCCGCCATGCCCAATTTACATTTTATGGCAGAAAATCAGAGGGCTGAAACCTCGAGTCACTGAATGGGCCAATACCTTTGGGGAGACGTGGGTTGATGTTCGCTGGGAGGTGAGCTGCAGGAATATTAATTTCAGCAGAGTAATTATCCTGCAAAAGCTTCTTAGGGATTAAGGCTGCAGATGTGTCTTGGTAAATCCTATGAAGCCAGCCGCCCGCTGGCCCGCTTGCAGGCAGGAGCCAGGCGGTCATGAAGGGGCATCTCGGGCTTCCATTTGCTCGCTGGGAGCATGGTAGCCGTGGGCATGGGGGGTTGCCCCTGTAAGGGCCACCGGTGCCCTCCCTGGAGGTGGCTCCTACACAAGGTGCCTGCCTGGGAGAGTTGGGAAGGATAAAGGGGAGGGGGCAGGGGTGGAGGACCCAGTAAGCCCCTGGAGCCGCTGCTGCCCCCACCCACATGGCAGCCATCCCTTCTGGCGCCTGGGGGACCCTCAGGCCAGCTTCTCTGAGAACGGGCAGCTCAGCCTCTTCCCATCCTGACACTCGGACTTGGGGTTTTCTTTGGAGGCATCTGTTTCCTCACCCTGTCTCCCTCCACACCCTCCTGGTCCCTTGGGGCCCCATGCTGGGCCCTGGGGAGGGCAGACAAGGATACGGTGCAGCTTGTTCTCCGGGTACTCGGAGCACAGGCGGGTCAGGTGGGCCTGGTGGCAGTGCAGGCCCCACGGGTTGAAGCTCCTCTCCGCCTGGCTCTCTCCGGCAGCAGTGTTGAAGTGGAACTCAGACCTCAGGAGAGTCTTGGCCGGGCTGGGGAGGGAGCACAGGGCAGTCAGGGAAGCCATGGGTCAGAGGTGGCTGCCTTAAAGAGCTGCTCTCTGAATGCCCACTCGGGTCCTGGGAGTCAGACCCACCACACTACAGCCCTTTGGAGGGGGTCTCTAAGCCCCAGAATGCTCGATTAGAGTGTCCCTGCCTCAGAGCCCACCTAAACTGAACCAAACTCACTGCCATCGAGCCAGTGGGTTTCTGAGACCCTGACTGTCGACAGGAGCAGAAAGCTCCGTCTTTCTCCCTTGGAGCAAGCAGCTGGTAGTTTCGAACTGGTGACCATGTGGATCGCAGCCCAACATGTAACCACTACACCACCAGGGCTCCTTCTCAGAGAGCTGAGGTGGTTTAAACGGACATTTAAGTGATCGAGAGTAATGATCTTAAAAAAAAAAATCTTATTCCTGAGGCAGCACAGTATGGGGTCAGCTGCCTCTCTCCCTCTCTGGGCCCTCCCGCCCCCAGAATCGGACAGCTGGGGTCTTGGGGCCTGTCCCTGCAGCACCTTGTGCTCTCTGCACCCCAGGCCCGGGTGCATGAGGGGGAGTCCTGAGAGGGGCTGCTGCAGGGGGTGATGTCTGTGAATTGGAGATAATGTGCACAGCCTCCTGACATCGGGCCAGGAGGCTTGATGAGATGCTTGCGCTCCTTGGGGAAGGGAGGTGTTTTCATGGTATTAGCTCCTTTTTGTTTCCCCTCGATGTTTTAAGAGTCCCCAGGGAGGCAGGCTTTGCATCTGAGAAAGGTCAGTGCCTGTGTTCAGAGAGACAGGTGACCTCTCCCATCACCTCCTGCGCTCACCGAGGGCCCAGCGGGCCTTTCCCAGGCTGCCCGAGGTGGAGGGGAGAGGAGACTGCTGAGAGCAAGCAGCCCCCTTGGTCCTTTGTTGGCACTGTTTTGTCTCCGTGAAATGGGTATTTAATCCAAAAAATACGTGCCTGGTGCCTGCTTTGTATAGGAGGCTGCCTTTGCATCAAGTTCAGAGAAAAGATGTGCCTCATCCCTCCCTGCTGCCATGGCAAGAAGGCCCGTCCCTGGGTCGCACTGGTGATTCCAGACAGCCTGCATTTGGGTTTCTCATTTTTTCCGCGCCAGCCCGCAGGGGAGCCCACAGTGGGAGTCTCTCGGGGGGCCCTGACAACCTGCCCAGGGGCCCTCACCTCTCTGAGAGGGAGTGTGCCAGGTGGGCCAGGGGGCGGGTGCCACTGCCCACGCCACCGGTGGTCTTCTGGAGCGTCTCCCATATCGCCACGGCCGCCGACTCAGAGGAGACCTTCAGGGACCCCTGGGCCTCCTGCAGTGGGCTGGCAACCAGGCTGAGGTGGCCCCGGCTGTCTCGCTGGAGGTGCACGGTGACAGTGCCTGGAAAACAGGAGGAGGGGGAAGCAGGGAGATGACTTCTAAGTGACAGGAGGCAAAGGGTGACATCCTTTAATGGCGGGTGTCGGCTGTCAACCCGCCCACCCCCGCGCCCCCAACTCCTCTCCAGGAATTGCTGTGGGACCAGCCTGGTTTAGCGTGAACCCCGTCCTGCTCCAGAATGAACGCAGGGCCAACTCACTGTACAGAACGCAGCCCTGGGCTAATCTCGGCTGGCTCTCTGCCTTGTTCCCAGCCGTGCTGCCACCCCCAGCATGCCACTGCCTGCCACTGACCATGGGCTGCTGTCCTCTGTGCGGGGAGGGGCAGGGCAGGAAAGGTGTTTGTGGGGGGTGCCGGCTCAGTGGCCCTTCCTCTTTGCTTCCCCCATCGTAAGCTGGTCTGCTGGACGGGTCTGCCCAGGCCCGGGCTTGGAGGGCTGCCCTACATTTCAACAAGCCGTGCTTCGGGGCCAGCCGTGCACGGGAGCCCTGTCCGCGGTCTCCCTGGGCCAATACGGGCGTCTCGCATTCCCTGTGCCCGCATCTTGTAGCCGTGAGTGGCATTCGGTATTTTCCAGCAGCTCCTTAAAAGACCCCACCTTTCCCCACCCCACCCCCAGCTCCTCCTGGGTGCCAGAAGGAATAATGACAATTAGGATAAGAGGCGACACCAGCCAGCCACTAGGCCAATCCCAGCTCAGCGCTCTGCTCCTGCGTGTCCCCCGGGGGCTGGCAGCAGGGTCGGGAGGTGATTGTGGTAGGAATAGGAACCACTGCTCCCCTCCCGCCGCCTCTGCTGGCACCATCCCCGGTGCTCCTGGTTTGGCTAAAGACGCAACAGGCCTGTGAGATACTTGACAGTGGACACGGAGACCCAGAGACATTGTGTAACTTGCCCAAGGCCACACGGTTGGCAAGAGGGCCACGCCGGATGTGGGTACGAGAAGGAACAAGATGTCACCGAGAACCCGTGTCCAGGGCCTCTTCGGGCAGTGTGGTGTCAGCTTGTGTTTACGGTGGAGGCTCGGGTGGATGAGAAACACTGCTGCCCCCCCCCACCCCACCCCCACTTGTTCTGGGACACTGACTAGCAGAGAAGCCCCACCCCTCATTTCAGGAGACGGCTCTCAGCCCGGGGTGCTGGAACACCGAGCGCACAAGGCGAGGTGTTTACATTTTTAGCCATTTCCGAAGACAGGAGCGATGTTGTGCTTGTCCCAGGGAACATTCTGGAAACAAGACCAGGCCCAGAAGCCATCTCTCAGAGGCGCTCACTGGCCCCCCTGCTTGTCTCTTGGGGAGCTCAGAGCCCTCCTGGCCGCCCAGGGAGCCCAGAAAGTGTGCTGGTCCAGGACAGGGCCCTGGCCTCTTCCATCCCCATGGCCTTTCCATGCGTGCAGTTGCTGTGAGGTTACAGGGCCCGGCCAACCACAACACACACAATGTTGGGGTGCCCCGGGCCCAGGGGGCCTCCCTAGAGGGACGAGGGATGTGACCTTGATCCTTGTCTAAGCTCATCAGTTCTGAGTGTCTGAGCCAATGGAGGCAAATAACACACAACCAATAGGATCCCAAAGTCATTTCTATTTCTCATATCGTCAGGGCTGGGCAGCCAGCCTCCGTGTCCCTGCCTGCCCGCCGTGTCTCTCTCTGGGCTGTCTACCACCCCATCCCTCCCTCCACAGGCACAGCCCTTGAGGCCTCCGTGGGCTCGTCCCTCCCAGGCCTGGGTTTGCTGGGCAGGGCCGGCAAACAGTCTCCAATTGCCTGCCCTTGAGGAGAGGTACACGCCCCGGTGCCGGGGTGATTCTTGTCACCCAGAGCCCTGCTGGCTCTAGTCTGGCCTCCAGCTTGTCCTTTATGCCCCGGGGTCTGTGTGGACGGGACCCCAAGCCCGGTGGCTCCAACTGACTGGGAGGGTGGAGGCCCCTCTCTGTCTGCTCGCCAGCCAGCGCCCCATACCCTGACCCAGACAAGAGCACTTGCTGCCACAGCTGGCATGCCCCAAGCACAGAGCCATTTCGGTTTGGCCGAGTACTTGGTGAGCTTCCCTGAATCCTCTGTCATGCATTTATTTTAAGCCTTGCTCGGCCACTGTCTGTAATATGAATCTGGTGCACTGTGGTCCGCTTGGGCCGCAGGAGCCTGTCCTCATGCGCCCAGGCAGGCCGGGAGCAGAGGGCCCAGCCCCACATGCTGTCCTGCCCAAGGAGGCCAGGGCCAGAGGCCCAGGGTGAGGTTCTGACAGTGGAATGGCCCGCCCTTCTTCCTGGAGGCAGCCACGAGGGAGAGGGGGGCCTTGTGGGGTGCGGGGCCCCTCCAGAAACGGCCCTTTTCTCTCGGAAACTTTTCCCTTGTGGAACCTCCCAAACCCGAGGTGACCAGCCAGGTGACCCTTCCTGGGAGCCTGTGTGACCAGACGTCTCAAATCCTGGCCTTCACCTTCTGCCCGGGGTGTGGCTTGAGGGCAGTCAGGGACCCTCTCTGCACCTCAGTGCCCTCCTCTTTGAAATGGGCTGGCGATGGTAGCCGCCTCCGAGGGTGGTTGTGGGGGCCATGAGTGAAGCAAGAAGCCCGCTCCGCCCGAGAGCCTTCGGGGACCCTTTTCCGTGTAAAAGCTGACCTCGGTGCCTGTCCACCTCGGTGCTTCCCTCGGGTGCCCGGAACGCAGGGGCCCCCGTTCTAGGTCTTTATGGAGGCTCTTGCATATGCACGTTTCATTAGCTGCACAGCACGATCGCTAGAATGTCTTCTGGTCAGTGAGTAGAGTTTCTGCTTCTTCTAAACCTCTCCCCTGCCCATCTCCGGCCCTCACCACCGGCCTGTAGGTGGTCAGCCACATGGGCTCGTGGAAGGGCGCCCTGAGGACTTGTGACCTAAAAAGCCCAGCTCCTGCGTGAAGCCCGCCAGGCTAGCCAGCCGGCTGCTTTCATTAGGATACCTCCGCTCTCATTCATTGACCCAGGGGGCAGAGCCTGGACCACCACGGGATGGCCAGAGGGGCTGAAGTCTGGACAGCAGGCCCATGCCTGAGGGTGTCCGAGAAAGTGTCCCTCCTCACCCCCAGTGGGTCATGGCCCTGTGCAACAAGGGTCAGCCGGGAGCCAGCCTCTCCGACTTGCCAGCTCTGCCCCCAGCCTGGCGGCTGCCTTGGCCATCCCTCTCCACGACGGAGCTGTTCGGAGCAAGTGGGAAATGCCCATGCCAGGCCCCACCACCCCTTTGCTGGGCTGAGTTCAGGCTCAAAAGGACAGGCATTGATTCCAGGGGGTGCCCGGACAAGATGGGCAGTGACCCACAGCCAGTGGGGCAGCATCAGCCTGTGCACTCCAGGTGAGGTAGGGAGGGGCAGAGGAGGTCTACACCATCCCCAACGCCCGAGAAAGGAGGAGCACCTTAGACCTGGGTGTGCTGCTGAAGGCACATGCAGGCCAGGGCTGAGAGTCAGGGGCTGAGAGACGGGACATGGAAACGAGGTCTGGATCTCAGGGCCGGGGCCACCCTCTAGCAGTGAGTCCCTACCAGGAGCAGGCCCAGGACCCTACATTAAACACACACACACACACACACACACACACACACACA